TGATGTTAAGCCCAAACATTGTTTACTAAAGTTTGCGAAGTTTTATAGGAGAAGCCTAATATAATTAATATCATCAAGAGTTTTATAACAAAGTTAGACCATTACTACAATTTACCAGTTTCTATAAGAGTGATTAATCACACTTCTATATAACTACGGGTATTTTAGTTATATAGATAAGGTAATGGCAAACCTTATATAAATTTGTTATAAACACATTGTTAACGGTTACTAAAAGTTTTATAAAATGGTGATGGAAACAGTTATATCACCTTATTATATACTTGTAATTTACAGTAATCATATAAAACCGTTTTATAAATACAGCACCAAAAGGTACGGATTATAAAACTACGAAACTTTCGTATATACTTCTATTACCTTTATATAACCAGTATAAAACTTGGTGTTACCATAAGTTGCGAAAAATGTTTATTGGGTAGAAGAGTCCGCTGCGCATAAAACGTAATAAGTATTTTGGGCGTTGAGTATCGTTAACCACACCCTCGGGCGGTAAATGACACTTTCCGCCATTAATATCTTAATAACTATTACCATTGTCTATTACCTAACTATCTACCAAAATAAGTAGTTTGAGTAGCTTGTTTTAGTAGCTAGCTACTTTTCACAGTAGCTTATGAATACTTGAAACACATTACCAAAAGCTACAGCTACAAGCTACTTTTTTTTTTCAAAGTAGCTTGAATAAGTTATTAGCTACCAAAAAAGTAGCTAAGCTAGTAGCTTAACTACTTGGTAGCTAGCTACTGCCCAGCTCTGTCTACAATATATATATGTATGTATATTTGGGATCATATTTCCCTACAGTCAAAATAAAATTTGATTTGGGACATATTTTTTTTATATTGTCCCGTTTGTCTCGAAAGGGTTAATTCCGTGATATATTGTCAACGGGATATTTTCAGTGTTGCCAATTTGAATAAATATTAAAATGCAAATAACTTTCCTAAGAATGCCACCAGATTTTTCAAATAATGTTTCTGGGATTCCTTGAAGGGTCCTCCACCACGTAGTGAAGAGTTTTTACACTATTTTCCGGGCACCCTGTATAACTCGATATCGAGACTAAGTCACGGTCTCGTCTAGAGTTGTCGAGACGAGACGAGACTAACCTTAAGGCTCGTCTAGTCCACTGATCTAAAAAATAAATGGATAAACAATCATACGGCTTGATTGGCAAAATTTGTGCGAAAATTTGGGATCAATATTCTATGAACAGTTGTGCAGCGGAACAGCCTAACGCCTGCGCAGTGTCATATCTTTCGAATAACTGTTCTAAATTTTGAAATTCCTTCATTTTCATTGGCCAGATTTTGTGCACGCACAGTACAAGTATCTACTGCGCACGCTCACCGCTGTCCCAGTCAGTTGTTTTTGTTTAGATTATGACCTCGTAAATTAGCAGCATTAGAAGCGTTCTTTGCTTATCCATTTATTTTTGAGATCAGTGGTCTAGTCTCGTCTTGCGGCACCACTAGTTTTTAGGTAACAATTCAACAGAGTGTGTCCTCTTAATTAAATCAAATTAAAGACAATCTTGAAGGCCAAGCAAGGCTTCACTATAAAAATCGGAAATAATGAATTTAACATATGAATTTATAAGTTTGTGAGTGCATAATAAGGTTGATTGTCCTAATGGTGTGAATTAAAAATTTCCATATGAAATTAAGGTAAACGAGCACTTTTCAAGTGATAATTCCTTAGCTGATTGCTGTACCGTTGCTGTTGTGTATTATATATTCAGATCTATATTTAATAATCAAAGATGAAATAAATAATTCAAATCTTATAAATAATATTGAAATTCAATCTAAAAATGAGTTTAAATTTTACCTCGACATTATTTTCCACTAGGATATTCTCTGTCCACGAGGGTCTATTACCATTCACATAGCTGTTTATATAGAGATGTGCCTCTTCTTCTGTTGCCTGTGACACAAACTCGTCCTGGAATTCCTGCGAGATCAGTATTATATTTTAAGTGTTAGGCTTATTTGCACTCACACTACTCGAGCCTTGAAATACATTGTTTGGAGCTACTGAAGTACTTTAAAGCAAGCCTTGGCAAAATGCACTATTCCCTGACATGCAGCGCATGTTTTACGGTATGGTGGACACCTATTTTCTGGAAATGTTCATATGGGCATCTCGAACATTTTATCTTTTTCAAGTTATTATTTCTATTGGTAAGTCTTACTGCATTTACTTCCTCTTCTTCTTTGGCTACTATCTAGTGTCTGATATGTTTGCTGCTTAAAGTAACTGATTTACTGTAGTCTATTATTCTGTCCACTGTTAAGTCGGGTTCTCTTATCAGCCTTGCCTATATCTGTTTGTCAATCAAGCCTACAACAAGCCCCAAAACATTCAAACGCCGATTTCCAAAAGCATTTTAGAACAACTCAGAAGTTTGAAACCTATTTTAGGACGCTCCAAAACACTGAAACTCAAACAATCTAGAATCCCCAGAAACATTTTGAAAAGCGCCAGAATTTCACGATTCAGATGAAAAGTTGCAAAACGCCTTTCAGAAGGCTTTTGAGAGCAAATTTAGATTGCTGTAGAATTTTAGAATTTGTAAAGGCATTTAAAACAGTTCAAATTCAAATCAGAATTTTCAGGAGCATTTTGGAGCAATTGAGAAACTCCAAAGTTATTTTAGAACAATTCCAAAATTCTAAATTGAATCCTTATTTAGATCTAGAAACCTTTTAGAACTTTTTTGAACCAATTAAAAACTCTTTGGAGCTTCAATAGGGTTCTAAAATAGGTACTTAAAAAATCTGTCAGAACAATTTAGAAATCACTGAAAAACTTCTAAAACTTCTAGAAGGCTCCAGAACTCTTCAAGCCAAGTTAGAACACTTTAGAACTTCAAAAAGCCATTTAGAAAGTTCCAAAACACTTTCCAGCAGCATTTTGAAAAAGCCTTGAACCGGCGCTGCGACTGGTGGTTCAACGTCTATCATCCCAAAGTTATAATTTTTCTGTTGTACTTATCCCTCAGAAAAGCAACACTTATTTTTAAAGTATCCAAATTTTCACTTTCACTTTTACTTTTAACATCTTTTAAGGTTATGTCTTTATGTTCATCACAAACAACAAGAGCTTTTGCAATATATACAGCACCTCTTTTAATTATCCTCTCAAAATCACTTCTATGGTATGCATTATTACATAATATACAAAAAACTGCCTTTAATTGCGCTTTGGGATGATATTTATAGTAAATATCGGGAGGAACATTTTGTCCACTCAATACACTGTCCATCATCTTGTATTGATTGTTCTAGTTTTGTATTTTATGCCAATTTTATCTTAGTTCTTAAGTATTTGAGTTATAGGATTGTTTTTTACTCAAAATTCTGTAACTGATTGGGTTATGCCCGTTTGCTTAAAATAAATAAATAAATCAATACGCCGGCTAGAGGATGTACCAAAATTCAAAAACCCATTAGCCTAACATCCTTTCCCCTTAAATCCATGGAGAAAGCAATAGAACAATATAGTCTAGGACGCAGCGACGATTTTCGGCACTTATTTTTCCAGTCAGACAACATGGATAGATTTGTAGGGTTAATAATTCTAAGCAAAATTCATATATTTTTTTGGGAGTGGGGGGGGAGGGTTTCCGATACATTAGAGCTTACAATAGCACGGCCCTTTTTTTCCAGTGATAAAAATATGTCTACTAATGAGAAGTATACTGAAGTTACGTAAAAAAATATTCCGACTAATCTGTGACTATGGAAAATACGTCTGGCAAGTGAATAATTGAAGATCCGAAAATTTTCAGCCAGACTCACTTTCCACTATCTGAGATAAGCCAAATTGCTATGTTCATATACTTTATGTTCTATTGTAGTAAATGTGAAAAATTTATCACTGGGAAAATAAGTGTACTTGTATATTTTTCATTGATCTTGTGAACCCATCCGAAATTTTTTTCGAAACTCCAATATTCTTGTTTTGTATCACCAAGACAACAAACTATTCAATATACACCAATTGGGAAAATAAGTGCAGAAAAATGTCACTGCCTCCTGCACTAATATATCAGAAGCGAAATTCTATATATAGCAGACCGCTTCATACAAGACAATTCGCCTACCAAGCAGGCACTCCAATGTCTAGTAACAGACTTAGAAAAGGCACTTGAGGCAAGAGAAGTCGCTCATGCAGCTTTCATAGATATAGAGGCTGCCTTTGATAACACATCACACCGATCTATTAAAAAAACTCTCGAGGATGGAGGGGTAGAGGCTCCTATTAAAGAATGTACAGAATTCAAGCTAAAACATCGATCAGTATCAAAATACTTGATCGGCGAAACAGTTACTGTCACCACGGTTAAACGCTACCCACAAGGAGTCTCCTTTCGCTTCTTTTGTGGACACTAGTGGTAGACAGCAGACAGCATCCTTACCAGACTAAACGACGTCGAAATAACCATCCAAAACAATATCACAAGCTACGGAAGAAAGCCAAAAATAGAAAAATTGTAAATAAAATCTGACCTGCCGGAAAATGTGTTCAACCCTGGAGCAAGATTTTAGTTACCTACAGTTTTTCTATTTTTGGCTTTAATTCTTCCATTGATTATTCAAGTTTCTCTTTAGAGTTTTTCACCTTTTTGGGTCATTTTCCTACTTTTTTTCGATTATTTTCAAGCCGTTTCTCTGCTGCCAGGATATTTGAATACTCTGGCTACTTTCTTTATTATCTTTTTTGCGTCTTCTTTCTTGTTGTCCATCTTGTTCATGTGCTACTTTCTCGTAACTTTCGTTCCCAAATTCGCCAGCATTCTCATACCTTTTCTTTACTTCATTTGTGTTGCTTGCTTCATATACTTTTATCTTAATTATCTGATAATTTTATGTTTTTTTCTTCTGACTATTCTCTCTGTGAGTCCGTGTTTCTGAATCAGTGGCGATCAAACATAAAAAAACGGCATAGTAAATAAAACAGGAATATTTTTTTTATAAAAAACATGTATTTTAGATCTTTTCAATATTCACCCAAACATCCCCGTCGACAGATGTAATAAAAGTTCTCGCCATTTTCAATGGTAGATGCGTTTTTTCGTTCAAAATGAATTTGTAATTTTTCAACAAAGACACCAAACCGACTTTACTTTGCATTATTCCAAAACGTATACCTATAAAAACATAATTTGAGGCCTAATTTTTTCAAGTAAATGTTAACCAATAGTCACCTAAACACATCCGTGGTCCTTCGCCGAAAGGCAAATAAGTAAATTCCTTAATATTTTTCCTATTTTCCACAGTAAATCTTTCAGGGTCGAATTTTTGTGGATTTGGGAAATAGTCTGGATCAGTGTGTAAACCCCAAGCAGAAATGAACACCGTAGTCCCAGGCTCTATTTCTGTCTTAGTACCAGGTATTGTGTATTTTTTGGTACAAACTCTCGGAATAGAAGCCACAGGAGGATATTTTCGCAGGGTTTCTTCAATAACTTGCTCAGTATATTTCAGCTCTAGCATAGCTTCGTAAGTCATTTTGCCATTGTGCCTTTCCAGGACTTCTTCTGCTTCTTGTCTGACTTTTGCTTGCATTTCTGGATGCTGGGATAATTCGAGGAGAGCGAATGTCATTGTGGTTGCGGAAGTTTCAAATCTAGAAAAAAATCGCAATTACCTATTCTTAGTTTGAAAGTGGGAAGAAGTAGTGATGGAACAAATTACTTACCCAGCTAAAAAGAAAATCAAACATTGAGCTGTAACATCGTCCAAATCAAAGGTACCGTCATTTTTTACGCTTTTATCAAAAACATTAATATTATCTTCATGATTAACTACGCCCCTGTTTTTGAGTTGGATCATCAAGTGCAAAAAATCTTTCCTGAATATAAACAATATTTTTCAATAGTTATTATTACAGCAAGTGTACCATTCAAAATGCTGTACACAAAAAATTACGTAGTGTTCCAGGGTATACCATGCCCTAACCGTCTTCGCAGTAATCTGATTTCATACTTAAGATCCAGAAGAGAGACGCTTCTGTGGGTGCGTTCAATTACCTACCATATGCATGAACTTAAGCTACTAGACGCTAGAGGTCTGTAGCTGTAACAATTTTAGTTTTGCAGCTGTAAATAGCAGTGATGGGGTACAACATACCCCATAACACTATCGAAGGGTTAAGTTGGATCAGCAGTCCAATAACAGGTAATGTTTTTAATTTTTTCCTTACCATTAGGTAGGGGAAAGTGGGTAACATTGAGACACGGGTAACAGTGAGACATTCAAAATATTAGTTATTTCTTCACTTTTCAAATAGGTGTCGCCGCAATAAGACATTATTAGTGTTCTAAGAGGAGTGTCGGTTGTATTTGCAACCATCTTTAATTTTTAGATTCGTCGAAAACGCGGAAGGGTACACAAACTTTCCGTAATTTTTTTTTGCCAACGAGCTTATTTGGCAAAATTTGAGAAAACGGTGATTTTTTCCATTATGCATGGTCTTCGAGTGATATAAGGGAACCTTATTGCTATTGATACCATTTATTAAAATTCAATTAAGATCAAAGGGGAACTAAAAAATGGCATTTTATTTTTCAAACTTACTTGGGTATGAATGAGACATGTTTAGATGGGTAACACTGAGACTATGATTTAGTAGAATTTACAAGCGAAACATTGAAGGAAAAAATCTACTACGAAGGAAAATTGTGAACAGAAATAGAAGTGGATAACAAAAACGATTATGAATTAATATTTTCAAGGAAAAGTGAGAAAATTGAGGGAATTTTTTTTTCTCAGATGCTCCAAATATTGCCACTGTTGCTAAAAGAAATATCAAGATGATTTTGCCAAAACCGGTGAATTACTGAATTACGGAAGGACTAAGCTCCTACTATGTTTTCATGGCTTTGAAACTTTGTCTGGGTCGTTTAGAAAAGTTTGTTTCAGTTTATTTGAATAAATATTTCTCATTCGATATAGTGTCTCATTGAACCCCCTGCATGGGTAACAATGAGACAAATGTCATAATAGTTGTTTATGTCAAATATTGTCTTTGTGAGTGACTATAGAATCAAAAACATAATGAATTATTAGTTTAGATATATTCTTGAGTGAAACAGAAAATAATAAAATAAATATTTAAAGGTTTATGTTGAAATATTTTCATTAGAAAAAAAGTGTCTCAGTGTTACCCAGTTTCCCCTACTCATTACTGTTGTTACGCGTTCATTAATGTCATTTTAATAATATGATACCTTAAAAATCTTACCTGTAAATTTTGTTTTTCTCTCTGTAATCAACTGTTTTTTCCACAACTTTTTTGAAAAAATCTTCGGGTACTTGAAAATTTGTTTCACGCGAAATCAAACGTAATGCTTTAAGTATAACCTTCCAAATACTATCTACACTTTTTGGTGAAAAGAACAGTTTTCCATGTTCAAGAAACTCTGATTTTGGATGTTTTAAGGAGTTGCATTCCAGGCCAAATCCACAACTAGCAACTACATCTGTAGTGAATCTAGCTAAGACGTCCCTGATATCGGCAGGTTCTCCAGATTCTGCTATTTCACCTGCCAACTGTTCTAACCCCTGAGTCTTTTCTAATAATGTTTCGAACATCATTTTCATTTTACCCGATGTAAATGTAGGAGTAAGTTTTTTTCTGGTAGCTCTCCATGCTTCACCTAGAAAAGAGCATCAAGATCAGTGGATTTTACAAGTTGGCATTAGCTGTTTATTCTGATTCTTTTCCATAGATCTAATAATAGCGCTTACCTTCTATATTGAACAAATTCTTATTAAAAATTTTATTATTTGTCAATTCATTCTTGGGAAAATGAGCAGTGAAACACTCAAAATTCTTTTGCATAATATCTTTAATGAACTCCGGAGCTATTGGTACAAATACCTTCCTCAAAGTTATGTAAGTCCCTCCATATGGCACTCCCATGGCTCTAAATTCCTTGTAACGTTCCAACGTAAATTGTGCAAGTGATTTGTTACCTTTCACCACATCCTTACCATCTCCATAAAAGAAAATTGGTTTTAGTTGGGGTACTCCGCGTTTCTTCCAGTAAGTTAACTTCCATTTTGAGTATAGGTGAAGGAATATAATAACCAATGTTGCTGCTAATATTATTAGAAGTAGCATTATATTTTAGTTTTACTAATAATGAATAATTATAAATGACCGAATTTGTTTGGCTAATGTATCTGTATTTATCTATTTATACTAGCTATCTTGAGTGATATAGTTATCAGATTATGCATTGTTCCAAATTTATTTTTTTATATCTGGGTATCCATTGGCGTACATCACAGAACTTATTCGCTTCCATCGGGCTGCCTTCCTCAAGTAGAAAATCGTTTTTTTTTTTTTTTTTATTTAAGAGCTGAATTTCAATGTACAATAAGCTTCAAACAAAATAGTTTTCAGGGTAAATGTTTTATCACTTTAACACCTAATCTCAATTTACTGGGTATAGATTGGATCACAAAATTTGGTCTATGGAACGTACCATTCAATTCAGTGTTTGTTAAATCAAAACAATTTTCAATCAATACAGAATCATTAAAATTAGCCTTTCCTAAAGTTTTTCAAGAAACATTAGGACACTCTAAAAAAACCAAAGTTAATCTTCATATAAAAGAAGATATGGTTTCTATTTTCAAAGCAAAAAGACCAGTAGCTCATTAAGTCATGGATAAGGTTAACTAAGAACTTCAAAGGTTGCAAGAAAAAAAATATCATATCATTAGTTGAATATTCTGATTGGGCAGCTCCAATTGTAGTTAGAAAGAAACAAAACGGAGATGTCAGATTATGTGGCGATTACTCTACTGGTTTGAATGAAGCACTTCTACCACATCAGTACCAATTTTTAGTATCATTGACCTTTCTGATGCTTTCATTCAATTGAAATCAGTGAGGAATCAAGAAAATAACAATAAACACTCATCATGGATTTTTCCAGTACAATAGAATGCCATTTGGTATAAAAGTTGCCCCAGCCATTTTTCAACAAGTTATGGATATCATGTTATCAGATCTGAAAGGAACCACGGCATATATCGATGACATTTTAGTATCAGACCAATCAGAGGAAAAATATTTTCAAAAATCAAATCTTGTCCTAAGGCGTATAAGAAAGTTGGTTTTCATTTAAAATTACAAAAATGTAAATTTGAATTTTGAAGTCAAAGAAATTAAGTATTTGGGATATATTTTAAGTGAAGGTGAGTTAAAACCAGCAAAAACTGAAGCTATCAGAAATATGCCACCGCCCCATAATATCAACACTCTACGTTCCCATCTTGAAGCAATAAGCTATTATGGTAAATTTATCACGTGTTACGTCAACCACTAAACGAATTATTAAAGAAAGGAATCAAATTTTTATGGACAACAGAATATCAAAAATCGTTTGAAAAAATCCAAAAAAAATTCAAAGTCGAATCTGAGTTTAACCAACTACAATCCAGTTCACGAAATCGTTGTAGCGGACGACGCAAGTATCACTGGAAACCTATATGGCACGCATTTAGAACTCCTACTGAAACAAAAAAAAATACAATCAAATAGAGAAGGAGAGACTTTGGCATTGGCTTCAATATTTCCTGTCACAAAATTTCACAGGATGTTTTATGGTCGAAATTCCACTTTACAAACAGATCATAAACCCCTTTTGACTTTTTTCGGTTCAAAGAAAGGAATTTCAATTCATACTGCAAATCGACTTCAAAGATGGGCATTAGTTCTCGAAGCGATCAACATCGAATCAGAAGTTTGTCATATATTTGATGAAGTTTTATAAAATTTGCCAATTAGGTAGTTTTAAGATGATTTATCGAGGAACTTAACAAGACAAAATTTATTCTAAAGTTATTCAATATGTACAGAATGATTGGTCAACAAACAAAAAGGATATTGAAAATTATGCACTTAATTTTTATTATAGACGAGACTCATTATCCGTTGTTAAAAGTTGTCTAATGTTTGAAGACAGAATAGTCATACCATTGAAATTTCGAAATTCTCTTCTAAAATCACTACATACCTACTGGTCATCCTGGACAAGAAAGAATGAAATCCATAGCACGTGAATATGTTTTCTGGCCAAATATAGACAGGGATATTAATTATCAATTTTGTGCGAGCATGCGAAGAATGTGCAGAAGCTTCAATAAGTCCATCAAAAATTTCTCCAGTAGCATGGCCTGTTCCAAAGGGTCCATGGCAACGAATTCATATAGAATTTGCTGGTCCAATCAACGATTATTATTATTTAATTATTGTTGATGCTTATTCAGTGGCCTGAAGTTTTTGAAACTAAAACAATGATGTCAAGGTTTACACTTATCAAAATTAGAAGAAGTTTTTTCACGATTCGGAACAGTCGTATCAGACAATGGCAGTCAATTCACTTGCAACGAATTTAAAATATATTCGAACAGCAGCATATTGGCCACAGTTAAATGGTCAGGCAGAAAAGTTTATTGACACCTTTGAAAGAGCACTTTCAAGAATTAAATGAGGGGGCACTCGCATAGGCAATTACAAGACATAAACATATTTTTAAGAGTGTACAGGTTTACTCCAAATCCAGATTGAAAATATCCGGCTGAACATATGCTAGGAAGAAGAATGAGAATTCCACTTTTTATTTGTTACTGCCTCCGAAAAATATCCAGATTAATGTTTAGATCAAGAAGTTATCATTAATCATTGAAAATATACCAGATAATATTAATAACAATTCACAACAGATAATACAAATACTGAGGATATGATCGACTGTCAGGAACATAGTGCAAAATAAATACTGTTAGTTCTAATGAATAATGAAGCTGTTCTGAAGGAATATAATTTAGATATAGTAAAGTTAGAAGATCGGGAAGGTTGAGGAGAAGTACTTAGAGGATTTTATTTAAAAAAAAAGGAATACCTAAATGTTAGGAATGTTAGGACAGTACGTTTACCAGCAAATCAAGTTTGATTTTTGACATATTCATTCTGTGATATTGATTATTATTGTATTTTACAGTTTAATTTAATAAAGACTTTTCAAAAAATATTGTTGTAGTTAATCCGAACTACAACAAAGATGATGGCCAATACGCCAATAACACTTTCAACCAAAATCAAGTTCAAGAATGTGTAGTTAGAACTTGTAAACAAGGCGGTGGTATTGTTGGTACCAATAAACATTTTTCGCAACTTATAGTAACACCAAGTATTGTACTGGTTATATCGGGTCTTCAAAAAAAAAACCAATCGAAGATTGCTTTGGTTACGAAAACGTACGTCGCATTATTGTTTCTTTATTGATCAGGATTTTTGACATGACATTTTGACATTAAATTTCATTGACTGACATTGTCAAAATTAAAGATAAATATTGCTAAGACATACGTTTAAAAACCATAGCAATCTTTGATTGTTTTTTTTTTTGAAGACCCGATATAAAGGTAATAGAAGTATATACGAAAGTTTCGTAGTTTTATAATCCGTAACTTTTGGTGATGTATTTATATAACGGTTTTATATGATTACTGTAAATTACAAGTATATAATAAGGTGATATAACTGTTTCCATCACCATTTTAAAAAACTTTTAGTAACCGTCACCAATGTGTTTATAACAAATTTATATAATAGTCTAGGAGGCAGTGACGATTTTCGGGGTTTTCCGATGGGTTGAGTCGCAAAATGCGTTAGAGCTTACTAATGCACGGCCCTTTTTTTTTCCAGTGATAAAAATAAGTCAACTCATCAGAAGTATACTGAAGTTACGTAAAAAAATAGTCCGGCTTATCTGTGAGTATGGATAATATCTCTGGCAAGTGAAAAATTGAAGATCCGAAAAACTTCAGCCAGACTAACTTTCCACTATCTGAGATAAGCCAAAATGCTATGTTCATATACTTTATGTTCTATTGTAGTGGATGTGAAATATTTATGACTGGAAAATAAGTGTACTTGTATTTTTCATTGATCTAGTGAACCCATCCGAAAATTTTTGCGAAACTCAAATATTCTTGTTTTGTATCACCAAGAGAACAAACTATTCCATATACACCAACTGGGAAAATAAGTGCTAAAAAATTTCACTGCCTCCCGGACTATAAGGTTTGCCATTACCTTATCTATACCGGGTGCCCACGAGATTAATTTCCGGCTGCCATTTTTTTATTTGTTCATCGATATCAACGAAATTTGGTAGGGTTGATATTCTAACCAAACGCCATTTTTATGCATTTATGACAACTTTTTCTGACTTCGGGTTTCACCGGAAATGACCGAAACTTTTGATTTTCAAATGGCACACCCTGTATATTTTTTGTTTATCGGATTCTACAGATCGTTTTACGTCCTAATGAACCACTTTTAAATCGAGTTTTGTCCAAATTTCGTTTTCAAATTAAATTTTAAGTAGAAAAAAAAAATTACCTACAAAAATAAGTATATGAACGAAAATTGAGAAAAATGTCATAGTGTATTATATCGTTGGATTCGCTTTAAAATACTGTATTTAGTAATGTTATGAAAGTGTTATGTTTCTATTCTACTTTTTGAGCTAGGACAAAAATACTGAAATAATGGAGTTTACAGCCCTCTATCAAAAAAGTTTACAAAGATAAAATTGAGTTTGTATTTTTCTGAAATTAAGTAAAGTATGTAGAGTCATTTTAGGATGATCATGGCACTCTAGTTAAAAAAATATAATTTAATTTAAAAATAAAATTTGGACAAAAATCGATTCAAAAGTGGTGCATTAGGATGTAAAACGATCTGTAGAATCCGAAAAACAAAAAATATACAGGGTGTGCCATTTAAAAATCAAAAGTTGCTGTCATTTCCGGTGAAACCCGAAGTCGGGAAAACTTGTCATAAATGCATAAAAATGGCGTTTGGTTAGAATATCAACTCTACCAAGTTACGTTGATATCGATAAATAAATAAAAAAATGGCAGCCAGAAAGTGATCTCGTGGGCACCCGGTATAACTAATAAAATACCCGTAGTTATATAGAAGTGTGATTAATCACTCTTATAGAAACTGGTAAATTGTAGTAATGGTCTAACTTTGTTATAAAACTCTTGGTGATATTAATTATATTAGGCTTCTCCTATAAAACTTCGCAAACTTTAGTAAACAATGTCTAGGCTTAACATCATAACCTTATTTTTTAGTATCTCATTCTTCCGCCTTCC